TGTGTGTGTGTGTGTGTGTGTGTGTGTGTGTATTTTTAGCGTTTTAATTATGATGTGGTGAGAGGACTTTATTTTCTTTCTTTTTTTTATTATTTTTTGAAAATTTTTTATGCTTACTTGGTTTACCCCATTTTGTTTGTTTGTTTGTTTTGAGACAGGGTTTCTCTGTGTAGCCCTGGCTGTACTGCAACTCACTCTGTAGACCAGGCTGGCCTCGAACTCAGAAACACACCTGCCTCTGCCTCCCCATTGCTGGGATTAAAGGCGTGTGCCACCACTGCCCGGCTTTCCCCATTTTTATTGGTTATTTTATTTATTTACATTTCAAATATTATCTCCCTTCCTGGTTTCCCCTCTGCAAACCCCCTATCCCATCACTCTTCCTCCTGGCTTCTATAAGGGCACTCCTCTACCCAGTCATCTGTAGGAGGAGCTAAGATGGGAGGAGTTAGGAGAGGAAGAGGAAAAGGAAGAGGAGGAGCTAGGGAGAGCAGGGATGTAGGAGTGATGGAGGGCCACGCAGGTATGGAGAGCAGTCGTGAATAACAACTTTTATTTAGGTTAGCTAATTGGGAAACAAGTCTCTTTGTATGGGCATATTGTTATTGAGCTTTATCAAACATATAAAGCCTTTGATTAATCTTTAAGCATTAGAGTCTCATTTTCTTACTGGCCTCACATGGATGGCAGGATGGTCTGGGCAATGCCCAGTCTTGCGGAGACAGCATGGAAGATCGAAGATCGGCAGAGCCATCTCCCACGCTGCCATCTCGTGGGTGGCAGGGCTGGTGTTTCTGGCTGGTCGTTTCTAGCTGTGGTGCACACATGTCCTCTGGCCACGGAACATGGCGGCTGAGCTAGGCAGAGCCACCGCAGCTTAGATAGTGGGCTTGATCAGGCCGTTTCTAATAATTACTGCAACGAAGTACTGCAACACTCACCCACTCCTGCCTCATGGTCCTAGCATTCTCCTACGCTGGGACATTGAACTTCCGCAGGACCAAGGGCCTCCCCTCCCATTGATGCCAGATCAGTCAATCCTCTGCTACCTATGCAGCTGGAGCTGTGGGTCCCTCCATGTGTACTCTTTGGTTGGTGGTTTAGTCCCTGGGAGCTCTGAGGCGTCTGGTTGGTTGATGTTGTTGTTCTTCCTATGGGGTTGCAAACCCCTTCAGCTCCTCCAGTCCTTCCCCTAACTCCTACACTGGGGTCCTGTGCTCAGTCAGATGGCTGACTGAGAGCATCTGCATTTGTATTGGTCGAGCTCTGGCAGAGCCTCTCAGGGGACAGCCATACCAGGCTCCTGTCAGCAAGTGCTTCTTGGCATCAGCAATTCTGTCTGGCTTTGGTGTCTGCATATGAGATGGATCCCTAGGTGGGGCAGTCTCTGCTCTACTCTTAGTCCCTGCATTTCCTTTAGATAGGAGCAATTCTGGGTTAGTATTTCTGAGATGGGTTGGTTGCCCCATCCGTCAACCTGGGCTGTGCTTAACCTCTTCATATGGTCTCTATAGGTTCTCTCTCACCTTTGTTGGGTATTTCAGCTAATATCATCCCCATTGGGTCCTAGGAGCCTCTTGATTTCCTAGCATCTGGGACTTTCTAGTGGCTACCCCCAGTTCCCCACTCCCCACTGCTACACACCTTGTTCAATTACCTGACCCATCTCCCCAGTCCCCTTCCACATCTGATCCTGCCGCCCCCTTTTCCTTCCCCCTCCTCTCTCCATCTCAGGTCCCTCCCTCTCTCTACCTCCCATGATTATTTTGTTCTCCCTTCTAAATAGGAATGAAGCATCCACACTTTGGTCTTCCTTCTTCTTGAGCTTCATGGTCTGTGAGTTGTATGGTGGGTATTCTGAGCTTTTTGCCTAATATTCACTTATCAGTGAGTACATACCGTGTGTGTTCTTTTGTGACTGGGTTACCTCACTCAGGATGATATTTTCTAGTTCCATCCATTTGTCTGTGAGTTTAATGAAGTCATTGTTTTTAATAGCTGAGTACTACTCCACCGTGCAAATGTAACACATTTTCTGTATCCATTCCTCTGTTGAGGAACATCTGAGTTATTTCCAGCATCTGGTTATTATAAATAAGGCTGCTATGAACATATTGGGGAAGGTATATTCCTTAGTTTTAGGGTGAAATATTCTATCGATATCTGTTAAATCCATTCAGTTCATAGCTTCTGTTAGTTTCAGTGTGTCTCTGTTTAGTTTCTGTTTCTATGATCTGTCCATTGGTGAGAGTGAGGTGTTGAAGTCTCCCACTATTATTGTGTGAGGTTTAATGAGTGCTTTGAGCTTTAGTAACACTGGAGTTAGAAATGCAGACTTTTAATTCTTATTATATGATCCAACAATCATGCTCTTTGGCAAAGAGATTTATTATTTAAGCTGCCCAAACACAGTGGTTTTATTGGTAATCAATTCTCTGAAATAACAATGTCCTTCAGTGAATGACTGGAAAATAAACATCAGATAATGGAATATAATGTCACCATTCTATGGAGAGAGAGAGAGAGAGAGAGAGAGAGAGAGAGAGAGAGAGAGAGAGAG